AAATTTGTTATTTATCTCCCTTTGTAAATTGTTACGCCACGGGAAGTGGAATATCACGGAGGGAAGAGATGGCGTCAGGAATATGGAGACGTCCACTATTACCACGTTTCCATGCGATGCTGGGTTCTTCTTTTAACGTTATTTAACTCACATGAGCACTCTAAATTCTCTGTCGGTTTTTTTCCTCTCTTCTCCCCCCCCCCTCCCTCCCATCTATATGTAGAAGAGTCCTTATTGACACTGGAGAGCCGGGTATGCCTGAATATATCGACTGTTTAAAGCAGGCACTGTCAGACTTCAACATCTCAATTCAAGAAATTTTAGTGACACACTGGCATCGTGATCATTCTGGTGGAATACCTGACATCTGCAAAGACATCCCTAATGGTAGGCCAGAGATTTCAAATATTGTTGAAAATGTTAGATACGCGGCAAGAAAAATTACTGAGTGCTTCTGTGCAAATCAGCTGGATTATTCTTCTGGTATCTCCATATAAACTACATGTAATTTCATGATACTGTTGCGGTGTTGTAGAATGAGAACAATTAATAATCTGAATATTGTAGTATTGTATTATTGTAAGTATTGTATTACAGTTTTTCTTCAGTACCTGTGCATATCTTTGTAGTGAATAAAACTTGATACTCGTTCCTTTCTGCATTGACAGTAATGACAAAATCACCACTGTTTTTGCTTGTGTAAAAACAGTAAATAACTTAACCTCTGAAAAAGAAACATATGTAACTTTGAGATTCCTTACAGCAGACCATTAGTAATTGCTGACAAACTCGTAGGCCTCAGATCATGAGGGGAAAGAGGATAGGGCAGTCTGCAGGTAAATTCTGATCTAAAAATATGTATTTCATGTTGATAAACAGTAAGAGACATTTCTGCTTTAGTATCTGGTAAGTGAATAAGCAGATTGGGTAATGCAGTTCTTAGCATTGTTGGACTCCGTCACAAGCTTTGTCACAGGCTTCATCAGATTTTGTAAAGTTGCCAGGTGCTTATCTGCAAAGAAGCCTGGGCACTACTGAAAACAACATTGGTGTCTTTGTGAGGATTTTGGCCATGTCAACCCATGAGCATGGTTGTAAAGACTAGCAAGGGATATAAATACATTTCTGGGTTGCTATCCATAGCAGTTCCAGCGAAGGCATTCAAAGTTCATGCACAGTTCAGAACCATAGATGCTGAGGGAAGATGCAGGTCCAAAAGTGTCCAGCCAGTGTTAGGCAAATGGTGCTTCTGTAAATCATAATGCAGAACCTGAGTGCAGAAATCTGAGTGTTGTTGTAGAAACTTGGGCTCTTGATGAGTCAAAAAAGGAACATTTGTAAAATACGATTTCTTTATTAACTTCACTTGTGCCTTTTTATCTTCAGAATTGCTGCTGGAACAGAGTACAGTATTCAGATTCAGTGGCTTTCATTATTCAGTGTTTGTGGCTCTGGAATAAGGTTGCTTTATGAACATAAAGTTACTGTACAGAACTTCTTGTTTCTAGTTTTGTATTCATACTGCGTAATAATTAACAATACAATGTTCAAGAATAGCCTTTCTCTGGAATTAGCTTTGTTAGTGACAAATTCAAAATACCGTTTTCTTTGCTTTCTTCAAATAGACTCTGAGTATCGCATTTGTAAGCTTCCTCGTGTCCCTCACCGTGAAGAAATAATAGAAGGAGGACATAAATATTTTTATCTTAAAGAGGGAGATGTGATACAGACAGAGGGAGCCACACTCAGGTGAACACCAATTTCTACACATTTACTGGATCACTTTTTTCTTCGGAATTCTGACACGTACATGTATCCTAACTTCTAATGATTAGTAGCAGTCCATACATCTAATCTTGTCAAGACTTACACATGTAGACTTTTTATCATGATCCAGCAGGATCATATGAAGAAATTCGTTTTATGAGTTGGCAACATCATCCTTACTGTCTTTTGCTAAGTGCAGGGTGGATGTCAAGAACTTCACACGTTTCAATCTGGAAATACATGTCAGTTTTTCTTTTTTAACGCTTCAGAGTAAAGCCCTCTGTAACACAAATTCTACATGACTAGCCAGCTAGCTTAATTCACTTTTACTATGATGTGTCATGTAAGTAAAAGCATGTTAGAGATGATGATCTGTGTTTTCTATGTGGTATAAGGAGACTGGGATTAGACAAAGTGATATCCTGTTTACATCAACATTTAAACCTTTTTGGTCTATTTTTTTTCTGGTTCTTGTGGATAACTTTGTAAGTGTATGATTTTATCATTATTTATTTCTAGCTTCTGAAAAAGAAGCATATATGCAGTATGAAAAACTTACACTTTTTTGTTCTTGTTCTTTAAACAGAGTTTTATATACGCCTGGACACACTGATGATCATATGGCTTTACATCTAGAAGAAGAAAATGCTTTATTTTCCGGTGACTGTATTTTAGGGGAAGGAACAACAGTAATTGAAGACCTGTCTTATTATATGAAGACTTTGAGAAGGTTGTTACAAATGAAACTACAGTTAATATATCCAGGTAAGTGGTTCTATTTTTAACTGTTTTGGTTTACTATATAATTTTTAAATATCTCCTCTAAGAATTTGAGAACTCTTACTACAATCAAACACCATTACTAATGTAACAATTCAAGTTCACTACTTAATATTTGTCCAGTGCTAAGCTACAATTACTTCTTGGTATGGTGGTTTACAAGACTTGCAAATTTTTCAGTGATAGGTATCTTTCCTTCCTGAGATTTCTCCGTTTGAGGATGAATCTCGAGCCTCTGTTCCCAAAGCCTACAGAGGCTACAGTCTTTCACTGTTGGAATCATGAGGCAAATTTGGTTTTCTTCTATCAATCTATTTATGCGCCTTAATGCTACCCTGGAACTAAAACTAATAGTAGTTCTTTTGGTTCCTTGTATCCCTGTATACACTGCAAATGTGAGTAACCTCGTAATGCTTTTTGAGAGAGATGTCTGTCCTTCGCAGCACAGATTAATCACAAATTCATCTTAGAAAGCTGCAGAGCTGTCAAATGGTTGTCTTAGTTAATGACTTAGCTTAAATTTGAACAAGGGCCAAGAGGTCAAACGTCATGTTATCAGAATAGGTTGCCGATTCATTCAGTCTGTGACTTTGCTCTAGTTTTTTTCCTCCATCTTCCCCAAACCTTGGTAATGCATTTACTTTTCATATAAACCACATGTCTATTTGACAAGATTGGATTTTAAGAATTCATTATGTAACGATGGTTTAAGCTCCTCATTTGCTTTTTCAGAGCTACATCTCAGGATTTTTTCTGACTTTTCCTGTTTCATCATCTTTAACGTGTCATTCTGAGCAATTGTGTCTACATTCTTAATTCTATCTTCCTCCATTAACCACCTAGGTTTAGCCTACATAACCAAATCTTTTTTGTATTCATTCTTAAAGTGTGCTTCTGCTGAAGTAGATGCTCTCCAAGTGCTTTAAGAATTCAGCATAAAAATGGTATTTAAGAAAACATCATTGTAGATATTCCATGGATGTGGAGGCCATCCTCCACATGTGGAGAGAAAAATAGTGACTTGCTCATAGTTACTAACTTAACTACTGGTAAAACTAAGAATATTTTAGCCCCCAGAATCTCAATCCATTGATCAACCAAATGTTCTGCTTTCTTTCTTAAATACCTCCAAAACAGAGTCTGTTCCTCTAATTGAATTTCTGCCTTCCAAAACCCCGTATATGCCAAATTCTATTTGCTTTATCAATTTTATCTGTTCTATTTTACTCTCTCCTTAATCATTATTTATCTAGATTATGCATTCACCAAGGCTGAATATTTGTCCCATTTATCTGTAACTGTTTGCTACTCTGTAAGCTATGAAGTATGCTTATGCTGTACTTGCAGTTAGAAAACCAGTCAGATGTGATGCATTTTCAGTGATGAGTAGCCAAGTATTAAGATGGTTTAGAAGTAACTAACTTTTTTTTATCCGTGCATCACAAAATGTATATGCAATTGTGTAAAAGATAACTGTTGCCCAGTCAGAACAATTGTTTTACTGTTGTTATGTACTACAGTAAAAGGGTAACTGTAGCAGAAGGTATACTTTACCAGTATATTCTGTATGAGCTCAGTACTTTGACTTTATTACAGTTTTAGATCTTTGTAATTCTTGAACTGTTTCTCTAGTCTCCATCCATGCTTTAGCACTCACATTGCAGCCTCAGAATTAGAAGCATGAATTTTCGTAACAAGCTGACTGCTGGCTAGGTGTGAGTAGCTGAATTTTTCCCAGCCTTCCCCTTCTGTGTTTCGTTTTCAATTTAATGGGGATGTGACTTCAGGCAGAATATTCATGGCAGTGTATTTTCAGCAGATAGTCGATGAGAATCCTTGGGACCAGAAAAGGGCGTTGCAGCCAGCAGAGGGCTCCCTATCCTGTAATAATTCCTTGATAATACAGAAAAAAAGGAACAGGAGTTAGGAATCTGTGCGAGATTTCATAAGCCAATTATCTTCTACAATTTTATCCTTTGTGCTTTAATTTACTGTAAAATAAGAGAATCTATATCACTTCACCGAGTGTTATGAGAATAAAAACTTACTGTTTCTGATCATCTGGGCTATATAGAGGTCCGAAATAATGTGAAACTATCTGATATAAAGTCTGAATTGTTGGAAAGACGGTCATGTTTTGAGAGATGTATTTCACATGCTCAGAAACATTTTTCATTTGTGTAAATATTATTTTATTTATTGGTAAAGTCAACAGTGTTGCTGTCCCTGAAAAATTATGGATGGGAAAGATCCACATCTGGATTTAGACCCACGCTTTCTGACATCACTTTAATGTATGCATATGCATACACAATGGCTATGGATCAGATGATGTAATGGATATGAAATGCCTTTAACTTTGCAAAATGTGAGTTCCACTCCACGTACTGACATTGGTCTTGTCATCTAAGTCAGTTAAATCACTTGGAAGAGCAGGGACTGATTTTAAGACTGCCTTGTGATTCCATATGCAGGCCTTAATGTTGAATACTTTAAGATGACTTCTGTCATTAGAGAATGTACAGTTACTATTATAGACTCTGCTCTGTATAGCTTAACGTGTTTTTTCGAAATTAAAACTTTTGGCTTTATAAATGGCAACATATTTACTAGATATATTGTTATATTTTTAATTTATTTTTTAAGGAACGATAGCTTCAAATAAATATGTTTGAAATCATTAAATAATGTGCGTATGACATTATAGTTTTATATGCGGATATTCCTTATCCACTTATGTGAATACCCACTTTATATGTGGATATTGCTTATCCACTCGGTGGATAAGGAATTGGCTGGATGGTCGCACTCAAAGAGTTGTGGTCAACGGTTCAGTGTCCAGGTGGAGGCCAGTGATGAGTGGTGTTCCTCAGGGGTCAGTACTGGGGCCAGTGCTATTTACCATCTTTGTTGGTGACATGGACAGTGGGATCGAGAGCACCCTCAGCAAGTTTGCAGATGACACCAAGTTGTGTGGTGTTGTGGACACGCTGGAGGGAAGGGATGCCATCCAGAGGGACCTTGGCAGGCTGGAGAGGTGGGCCTGTGAGAACCTCATGAAGTTCAACATGGCCAAGTGCAAGGTCCTGCACGTGGGTTGGGGCAATCCCAAGCACAAGTACAGGCTGGGCGGAGAATGGATTGAGAGCAGCCCTGAGGAAAAGGACTTGGGAGTGCTGGTGGATGAGAAGCTCAACATGAGCCAGCAATGTGCACTGGCAGCCCAGAAAGCCAACCGTATCCTGGGCTGCATCAAAAGAAGCGTGGCCAGGAGGTCGAGGGAAGTGATTCTGCCCCTCTACTCAGCTCTTGTGAGACCCCACCTAGAATACTGTGTTCAGCTTTGGAGTCCCCAACACAAGAAGGACATGGAGCTACTGGAACGAGTCCAGAGGAGGGCCACGAAGATGATCCAAGGGCTGGAGCACCTCTGCTATGAAGACAGGCTGAGAGAGCTGGGGCTGTTCAGCCTGGAGCAGGGAAGGCTCCGGGGTGATCTTATTGCAGCCTTCCAGTACTTAAAGGGGGCCTACAGGAAAGCTGGAGAGGAACTTTTCACAAGGGCATGTAGCGATAGGACAAGGGGCAATGGATTTAAACTGAAAGAGGGTAGATTTAAATTAGATATAAGGAAGAAATTCTTCACTCTGAGGGTGGTGAGGCACTGGAACAGGTTGCCTAGAGAAGCTGTGGATGCCCCATCCCTGGAAGTGTTCAAGGCCAGGCTTGATGAGGCTTTGG